AAAGGAAGGATATACTAGTTGAAAAGAAATATATCCTTTTGTACCGTTGCCTCAGTATTTTTAAACCTCTTCCCCTCCACCCTCAAGAACTTGCTCTCACTTCTTCTAAGTGAACACCAATAATCCCTTGATCTCCAGCTTGGAAAAGAAACCACAGCCGTTTGTAAGCTCAAATGAGCAGATGACATAGGTTGTGGCCCACAAACCAAACTAATATGTGTAAACCTCAGCAGGCTTAATCTCTTTGACTTTGATGAGGAGTAAGTTATTTAAGTGCAATTACATGGCTTGAGCTTAAGGTTGCCATTTCCCCTCTTCTCTTTCTGCTACTCTGCCTTTAAACATGAAGAAATTAGGCAGGCAAAGCGTCCCCATTCCTTTGTCTCCCCGCTAGGAAATGCATCATTTGCGAAATTTCTTTGGGTTAAGCCGCCATTGAAAATGGGGGGGAGAACTAGGGGGATGTATCCAACATAGCGCTAAGCTTCTTGTTCCTTCAGTGCAAGGATTTCTGCTTACAAAACAGAGAGCGTTCTCCATCTCTCCTCCTCCCAGTGTCCCCCCTAAATTTGTTCCAGAGGTTTCCCCAACCCTCTGGAGCAGAACTGGGGAGAGCATGGGGTGCATTCACTGGGAGGAGAGGCAGAGGAATCAGGTTGCATGAGCAGAAATCATTGTGCTGATGGGATGCAGTAGCTGAATACTGCCCAGTGTTTTATAGAGTGTTACATTTCCCCTTTTATTTTTTTAAAAAGAGTTCTTTTCGGCTGCAAAGCCAGTGTCCTCTAGTCAAGGCATGACCAATGTGCTGCTTTCAAGATGTTGCTAGACTACAAGTCCCATCATGCCTTGCTATTGGCCATGGTGGCTTGGGTTGGTGGGAGTTGTAGTCCAACAAAATGTTCTAGGCACCTGTCCTAGAGAGCCCCTTTGGCAAAGAAAATCTCACGGGGTGAGGCAGCCTTAAGAGTTTGCAAGCAATAATAGTTGTGGAAACCAGGATTAGACCCGGCACTCTTCTTCTTTTCCCTAGCTCAGCACTGGCTGCTGTTAGTGCTTTCCTTGTAGAGTTAAATCAAACCATTCACTAGGAAGTCGTAAGAACATGAGAAGAATCTGCTAGATCAGGCCGAAGTCCTAACAAGTCCAGCACTTTGTTCTTTAAAATTTCCGTACCACTTGGTTGTAAAAACAAGAAACCAACCCTCAAAGTGGTTTACAGAAAAGATAAAACAGTAAGAAGAATTAGCAATAATTTAAAACTTTCACAAAATTCAAAACAGAAACAAACTAAAAACACATCAACTTTCTAAATGCTAAATGTCTAGATGTGTTAGGTATATGCAATGCAGTTTTACTTTTCGCCAACTGTAGATCACTGAATCGGCACACATATAGACACTTAAAGCTAAAGTGGCATTCCAGGGATAGCTTACTGCTTGACACTGCTGAGGACATAATTAATTAATTAACTAACTAACTAAATTCTGTCCTGCCCTTCCAAAGCAGCTCAGGACAGCAATATAAATTGCCCCCTAAGAGCACAGTGAAGGCAGCGCTGCAGTTCTCTATCGGGCTTCACAAGAGGTCTTGCTTTGTGATGTACTTTGAGCGACTCGTACGTCTTGGTCCAATGGTTATGGATGTTGTTTGGTTTTGAGTAAAGCTGATGGCTCTCCTGGTTTAAGGAGATTAGGGCTTAAAAAAGAAACATACTGGGGAATAATGCTATGTGCTATGGGGGTTTTTTGGTTGGTTTTTTAAAATTATAATAATTTCAGTGTAGGTTTTTGACCCTTTGGGGTTTTATGGTGGACTGAGCATGTATCCTTTTGGTGTTCTGCCCAGATGAAGAGCGAATTGTCCTCGCTAGACATATGGAATGCAAACATGAGTCTTTTTTTAACTCCCGCATCTGTGCTGGCTGTCCATGTGGAAGTTAAAAATCCTCTGGCCCTCTGCGATAACCTCAGTCTCCTGGCTAACATTCCCTCGCCTAATAAAAACAAGATTTCAAGGTCTAAAGCTCTGTGTTAACTGTTGCATGGTGCTTTTTTATTTGTTTGCTTTCAGTCCTGCCCTTCCAATGTCTTTGCTGTAGAAGATATCTGAAGCCCTAAACCAAATGTTTTCCTGTGAACATTTGACAAGGACAGGAGAGGTGTCCTACAAGGGCCAAATATCCCCCATCATCCACAATCCTATAATACCTTCCTTGCCCCCCATTATTGACTGCAGGTTTGGTTGCATACAAGTGTAAAAGCAACCTAAAATGTCTCCCGATAATCAGTGCTATTTTTCAAGGGGGGAAAAGGTGCCAGAACACACCATGATCTGCTCCCTCATTCTCTTAGAATGAGAGGTGCTGGAACTGAGTTCTGGCGAGTTTTCACTGGGGGAAAAAAAGCCCTAATGATTAATAATAATAATAATAATAATAATTTATTACTTATACCCCACCAATCTGGCTGGGCCTCCCCAGCCACTCTGGGCGGCTTCCAACAAAATATTAAAATAAAGTAATGCATCAAACATTAGAAGCTTCCCTATACAGGGCTGCCTTCAGATGTCTTCTGAAAGTCTGGTGGTTGTTGTTGTTGTTTAGTCGTTTAGTCGTGTCCGACTCTTCGTGACCCTATGGACCAGAGCACGCCAGGCACTTCTGTCTTCCACTGTCTCCCGCAGTTTGGTCAGACTCATGTTTGTAGCTTCGAGAACACTGTCGAACCATCTTGTCCTCTGCCGTCCGCTTCTCCTTGTGCCCTCCATCTTTCCTAACATCAGGGTCTTTTCCAGGGAGTCTTCTCTTCTCCTGAGGTGGCCAAAGTACTGGAGCCTCAGCTTCAGGATCTGTCCTTCCAGTGAGCACTCAGGGCTAATTTCCTTAAGAATGGATGCATTTGATCTTCTTGCAGTCCATGGGACTCTCAAGAATCTCCTCCAGCACCATAATTCAAAAGCATCAATTCTTCGGCGACCAGCCTTCTTTATGGTCCAGCTCTCACTTCCATACATCACTACTGGGAAAACCATGGCTTTAACTATACGGACCTTTGTTGGCAAGGGGATGTCTCTGCTTTTTAAGATACTGTCTAGGTTTGCCATCGCCTTTCTCCCAAGGAGCAGGCGTCTTTTAATTTCGTGACTGCTGTCACCAGTCTGGTGGTAGTTGTTCTCTTTGACATCTGGTGGGAGGGCGTTCCACAGGGTGGGTGCCACTAGTGAGAAGGCCCTCTGCCTGGTTCCCTGTATCTTGGCTTCTCACAGTGAAGGAACCCCCAGAAGGCCCTCGGCGCTGGACCTCAGTGTCCAGGTAAAACAATGGGGGTGGAGACGCTCCTTCAGGTATATTGGACCGAGGCCATTTAGGGCTTTAAAGGTCAGCTTGGAAATGTACTGGGAGCCAATGTAGGTCTTTCAAGACCAGTGTTATGTGGTCTCGGTGGCCACTCCCAGCCACAAGTCTAGCTGCTGCATTCTGGATTAGTTTCCGGGTCACCTTCAAAGGTAGCCCCACGTAGAGTGCGTTGCAGTAGTCCAAGCGGGAGATAACCAGAGCATGCACCACTCTGGCGAGGCAGTCTGTGGGCAGATAGGGTCTCAGCCTGCATACCAGATGGAGCTGGTAGACAGCCGCCCTGGACACAGAATTAACCTGTGCCTCCATGGACAGCTGTGAGTCCAAAATGAGTCCCAGGCTGTGCACCTGGTCCTTCAGGGGCACAGTTACCCCATTCAGGACCAGGGAGTCCTCCACACCTGCCTGCTTCCTGTCCCCCCCCCCAAAAAGTACTTCTGTCTTGTCAGGATTCAACCTCGATCTGTTAGCTGCCACCCATCCTTCAGCCGCCTCCAGACACTCACACAGGACCTTCACTGCCTTCACTGGTTCTGATTTGAAAGAGAAGTAGAGCTGGCAACTGGCATTTAGACGCATTGCTGTCTCCATCTGTAGCGACAGAGCATAGACATTGTGGGTAGTTGCCATCAGTATCCCCCTCCTTCATGAATTTGTCTAGTCGTCTTTTAATGCCACCTCCTATGGGCACAAGTTCCACAGTTTATCTAGGTACTGTTTTTCATCCAATTAGGAGACGTGGAAGTATTTTGGGAAGGTGGAAGAGAACCTCCGTATCCAAGGAAGAGATGCCAGGACAGTTTCTGCAAGCCACGGTGCTGCCAGAGCTATCTCAAGTAGATAGGGGCCAGGCCATTAACATTTGAACTTCATCACTGTAAATATTGCCTCATTGTTTCCAGTCTTTCTCCGTTCTGAACATGGGCTTGGCTGTAAATGCTGCAGCATGATAAATGCTCGGGTTGTAATGGCACCCGTTCCATGAGCCCATAAAAGAGGCAGTTTAGTGGCTATGTTGTTTTTGTGGTGATGGCTGTTTTAATTCACTTAGCACTAAGTAGTTACCAGAGGCACATTGAGGCATGGCTTGATTGTTTTTATTTGCCCTTAAACTTCTTTTTTTGATTCCCTTTGGAAACCCACATGTATTTATCTCACTTTATATATGCCGTGTAATTAGATGTGATTTCAGTAATCGTAGCCAAGTATGTATGTATGCATGCATAATCTAGCTCTGTGGTAGCTGCATTGACTGACTGTGTTTCTCTAGAGCAGGGGTAGGCAAACTAAGGCTCAGGGGCCGGATCCGGCCCAATCGCCTTCTCAATCCGGTCCACAGACAGTCCAGGAATCAGCATGTTTTTACATGAGTAGAATGTGTCCTTTTATTTAAAATGCATCTCTGGGTTATTTGTGGGGCACAGGAAGTCGTTCTTCCCCCCCAAAAAAAATATAATCCGGCCCCCCACAAGGTCAGAGGGACAGTGGACCGGCCCCCTGCTCAAAAAGTTTGCTGACCCCTGCTCTAGTTTTTCACACAGGGGACTCCCCCAGCTTTGTCTGGGTTGTAGCTCAGTGGCAGAGCGTGTAGTAGCACAGCATTCAGGTGGCCTCAAGTTCTATCCCTGCTATAAACCTGAGAGTCTGGACAGCTCAGTTGGATAGAGCGTGGTGCTGATAATGTGGAGGTTGCAGGTTCAATCCCCATCTGGGACAGCTGCTTATTCCTAAGGGGTTGGAACAGAAGATCTTCAGGGTCCCTTCCAACTCTATGATTATATTCTATGATATTTCCAGGTACTGTTGAGAAAGAACCCCATCTGAAAGCCCCCAAAGCCCCTATGCCTATTGGTCTGTTTAAAGGCTTCCATGCACATCGTTCCCCTGTGGCATTCTCAGCATGTCACGAAGGCAATGCACCACCAAAGTTATCATTTGTATGGCCGCTCAAATTGTTACTAGAGCTGGCAGTGACTTATCTTTGGCTAAGGGTGGGGGAGAAATTTAAAGCCAAACCTATCAGATTTGCACTTCCTAGGAATAATATGCAAACCGAAACACAGCTGTCCTCCAAAATTCGCATTTCTCTGAATTTTGCAATGCCATTCTCCAGCCAAGTAATGTGTGCACAGATGCATATATACTAGGCTAGGTAAAGGTAAAGGAACCCCTGACCATTAGGTCTAGTCGTGGCCGACTCTGGGGTTGCGGCGCTCATCTCGCTTTATTGGCCAAGGGAGCCGGCGTACAGCTTCCGGGTCATGTGGCCAGCAGGACTAAGCTGCTTCTGGCAAACCAGAGCAGCTCACGGAAACGTCGTTTACCTTCCCGCCGGAGTGGTACCTATTTATCTACTTGCACTTTGACGCGCTTTCGAACTGCTAGGTTGGCAGGAGCAGGGACTGAGCAACGGGAGCTCACCCCATCACGGGGATTCGAACCGCCAACCTTCTGATCAGCAAGTCCTGGGCTCTGTGATTTAATCCACAGCGCCACCCGCGTCCCTATACTAGGCTACATTGTGCATTAAAAAAGGAATGTATTGGTGTGTAGGTGGGAATATGCAAAATAAATTGTACTGGGAAAATGTCTTGGCAATAATGTGCATGTTAGAGAAAGTTGCATATAAAAATGTGTGCATTTGGATAAATCTGCAATAATTCATCCAGTTATTTAAACAGTCTCCCCTGGGATGTTGTGGACACTTCTTCCTTGGAGGTTTTTAAGCAGAGGTTGTCTGGCCATCTGTCACGAATGCTTTAGCTTGGATTCCTTTATTGCAGGGCATTGAACCCTTAGGGTCCCTTCCAACCGCAATTCTATGATTCTATGGTTCTATATGCAATGCATTTTCATGCTATTCCCCCCCCCAATTAATTGCAGCATCTTAAAAACTAGAGACATCACCTTGCCAACAAAGGTCCGTATAGTAAAAGCTATGGTTTTCCCAGTAGTGATGTATGGAAGTGAGAGCTGGACCATAAAGAAGGCTGATCACCGAAGAATGGATGCTTTTGAATTATGGTGCTGGAGGAGACTCTTGAGAGTCCCATGGACTGCAAGAATATCAGACCTATCCATTCTTAAGGAAATCAGCCCTGAGTGCTCCCTGGAAGGACAGATCCTGAAGCTGAGGCTCCAATACTTTGGCCACCTCATGAGACGAGAAGACTCCCTGGAAAAGACCCTGATGTTGAGAAAGATTGAGGGCACAAGTAGAAGGGGACAACAGAGGACGAGATGGTTGGATAGTGTTCTCGAAGCTACCAACATGAGTTTGACCAAACTGTGGGAGGCAGTGGAAGACAGAAGTGCCTGGCGTGCTCTGGTCCATGGGGTCATGAAGAGTTGGACACGACTAAACAACAACAATTAATTGCAAAATGATGTGAAAATGTGCAGAGCTGAACTTCAGAATGGAAAAAAGCAAGAAAATGTGAGAAGCTGAACCTGGCAGACTTGGCCCACAGTTAGGGATGATGGGTGTTCGCAGTCGATGCCACTCATGTTAATTGGGGGAGGTGGTGGGTGTCCAACAACTGGTTATGAGCACACCTGGGCACATATCTTGCAATATCTTTGTAATATATATAAGCAGGCTGCTATTAAAATGGCATTCATTAGCATTATTTATTACGCCAACAATAAATCTATTTGACATTGTAATTAACCGAAAAATCACACGAGCAATAAATACACAATCGCATTCTTCTTAATATCTCAAATTGGTAATTAAGTTCATGCAACATGGATTTAATTGATATTTTAAATGTTAGCAGTGGTAAATTGCAATTCACAATAAAATCATTAGCTGGGAGCTTGCATGGTAAGTGGCAACGCGGCAAGTGAAAGTTGATGGGAGTGAATGGATAGAAGAGGGAAATGGGGAACATTTTCAAAGTTGTGAACTAAATCTGGAAATTCAGATGATCCCATATTTGAACTCTTGGCCACATTTCCCCCAGAAACCCTCTCAGAATTATGCTAGATTTGGGCAGGGTCAGAGAAAGATCACTGTGGGGTCACTGTGCTCTGCAGGGGAGAGACCTCTGTAGATAACATTTCATCAGGAAGTCCATTCCAACAACAACAACAACAAAATCCCGTTGCATATCAGACAAATGCCTGTTGTCTTTTCAGCACAATTTGAAAAATCTTCCTTTTTCAACAAGCCATCAACAAGCCGTCTTTATCCCAATGTACCTGCATTGGATTTGAAATTACCGTATTTTTTTTGCTCTATAAGACTCATTTTTTCCCTCCTAAATAGTAAGGGGGAATGTGTGTGCGTCTTATGGAGCGAATGCAAGCTGCACAGCTATCTCAGAAGTCAGAACAGCAAGAGGGATCGCTGCTATCGCTGCGCAGAGATCCCTCTTGCTGTTCTGGCTTCTGGGATTCAGAATTGTTTTTTTCTTGTTTTCCTTCTCCAAAAACTAGGTGCGTCTTATGGTCTGGTGCATCTTATAGAGCAAAAAATACGGTAATTTGAATTGTTTGAATAGATTTTTTTAAAAAAAACCTTTTGTACATATGGAATAGTTTTCAGCCTATTTTTTAAAAATGCTTTTACTATGGAATACTTTTTAACTGCTTTTATCGTTGATGCTTTTTGTCGTGAAATTGCTCTGAGATATTGGCAGTGCTTCGTAAATGGACCAAGTCCTATCTAGACAAATGTATTGATGTGAGGGCTACTATTAGCCATTGAGGGCTGCAAATTGCCTCAGCGGTTGGATGCAGCAAAGACCACAAAACCACAGGAGAGGATAACAGGATTGTGGACCAGATGGAACATAGGCCTGATCCTGCAGGCTTTTCTTATGTTCTTACGAATCAAATATATAAGTTTGTGAGTTCTGGCTGTTTTTCAGCAGACACTGCTGCGCTGCTGAGCTCCCCAGCATTACTTAACATTGTCCCCAAAGGTGGACAAAGTTGCGGCAACAAACCTGGACCTCTTACTTCACTGTGGTTGATGCTAAAATATCTTGACAAGCCTGTCAGAGCCGGAGCATGGCCGTAAACTTCCCCTTCTGTGATTTCACCTTTTTATTATGTTTGAGAGCTTTGTTCCACTCTAGTAGCCTGTGGCAATGTGCTGGGAAGATGAGACTTTAGCAAAATATCGAACACTCAGAAAGATGTGTCAGAAATTGCACTGAAAGATTCCTCCCCCCGTCTTGATTTGTGAGAGCAAAATGACATGAAATGCATTCAGAGAGACTACAGGAGACAGTGGTATTTTATGTGCTATTCAGAATAGAACATGGCAAATAAGGGGAAGGCAGCCAGAAAAACAAATGCTGCTTGTGAGTAAAAAACTTCAACATTCCGAAAACAAGTTATGAACTCATTTGTATGTACAATAAATATTACTCTAAATACTCGCTTTGTGGTGGGACTTGAGTATAAGAACTGCCATACCAGCCCAATGTTGTTGAACTACAACTCCTGTTATCCCTGACCATTGAACACATGGGCTGGGTCAGATGGGAACTGTAGTCCAACGATATCTGAAATTCTGCTCCACAGCATTTCTGGTTGTCTCAACTTAGAGATAGTGCAGCAGTGAAACTGGCAGAGGAAGATGAATATGAATAAATATGAAACTGCAATTAATCCAGAACATGGCAGCTACACTGGTGACTGGGAGTGGCTGCTGGGACCATATGACACTGGTCCTGAGAGATCTGCATTGGCTCCCAGTACATTTCTGAGCACAATTCAAAGTGTTGGGGCTGACCTTTAAAGCCCTAAACAGCTTTGGTCCAGTATACCTGAAGGAGCGTCTCCACCCCCATCATTCAGCCTGGACACTGAGGTCCAGCTCTGAGGGCCTTCTGACGGTTCCCTCATTGCAAGAAGTGAGGTTACAGGGAACCAGACAGAGGGCCTTCTCAGTAGTGATGCCCGCCCTGTGGAACGCCCTCCCATCAGATGTCAAGGAAATAAGCAGCTATCTTATTTTTTAAAAAAACATCTGAAGGCAGCCCTGTTTAGGGAAGTTTTTAATATTTAATGCTGTATTGTTTTTAATACTCGATTGGGAGCTGCCCAGAGTGGCTGGGGAAACTCAGCCAGATGGGCAGGGTATAAATATTATTATTATTATTATTATTATTATTATTATTATTATTTGGTTTAATCTGACCTCTAACGTGGACAGGAAAGAGGAATTAAATATATTTTGGGTTAACCTACACTGCTCTGGCTTTGTGGGTCAATGGGGATGCCCAGAGAGCTGGGCATGTGTGTCGGTGTGAACAATGAACTGGTGGTTGCATGGTGCTCTTGTCTGGTTTACAGACCCAATGCCCTGTTAACAAGGAAAAAGAACTCATTTCAACACTTGTTTTGGGGACACTGGTGGCACCCAATTGTATGTCCAGGAGTAGGGCAGGAGATGATCCTGACCTCATTAGGGAACTTTCCTGCCTTGACGATGCTGTTTTGGTGAATTGGTTTGTTCTGGTTATTAGGTTTCTGCAGAGCCACTTTATTTTTATTGTCACATTTTAATAAATATGACCTCTCTGTGTTTTAATACTGTGTTTTGAGTCCTGTTCAAAGGTGTGATGGCAAGGAAATAATTGCTTGCCACCACATAAAGGTGATTTTCCCGTAAAAGATAAAACGCTGCGTTTGTTGCTACTGAAGCGAAAGTCCACGAAAATGGCTTTTCTGGGAAATCCAGCTCTTTGGAAAAAGTCAGG